AGTAGTGCCTAAAGATTACTCCGTGCGGCTATAAACGACTGTTAAATGGAATGATGAATTTTTGAAGGATTTTGAAAACGAAAAAAATGATAGTCATGCCGGCCCAGCATCATCAACGTTGAAAAATGTCCCGGCATGGAGTGGTTAAGGACTGTCAAGACACCTGTTCAGACAGGGTTTTTTTTTTCCGTGCACCTTGTGTCTGTATGCCAGGGTTGCAAAGGGCATTCACTGAAATGCTACAGCAGTGAATCACGGCAAACAGGTGCTGATATGGAATGGATCTTAAAACGTAAATGGAAAGGCAGCCACAGGATTCGGACAAGGCCTCGATGGGTTGATGTCACACTATCCCACTGACTGATCAACATCCTCAGTTTAGACTGAGCCCCTCTTCACTGCATCTGACGTATATGAGTAATTCCTTGACTACCAAACTTTTGTTGTTCGTCTTTTTAAGTGACAGGCTCAATAATTCACTGTGGCATGCACAATATTACTTCTTATGTGCCCAGATAACAGTCCATGGGAGAGGTGACGTACTGAGCATAACGGCAATCCTAACCTGCACATAAATGTCAATCTGTGAGCGGGGGTAGAGCTGGGTCATGATGGCCGCCTCAAACGTCCTCTGCAAGTTCTGGGACATTTCTTGGGACTTGCGGTCACCCATGGGCCTCTTCTTGCGCTCGCCCGTGCTGAAAGTAGCCATGCTGTACTGGCAGTTGACAGTCACACGGTCATGCTGGGCCTTCACACGGCCACCTGTAGCCTGGTGCATTGAGGAAAAGTCAACTCATTTGAAACCTGTTTAGGTCCATTATGCATTGGACAAAATTTAAAAGTATTTTTTGCCTTGAACCAGTCACATTTGTTTATATTCATCTATAAAGACTGAACCACAAATATTAAATTCTATTACTGACCCACCTTCCAATATACAAATCATATCCTTACATACTGCAGGGTATTTAACTGTCTTTTACCGGTTCTTGGCTCTGAATTATTTTTAAGGCCAAGAGAAATAAAGTCTGAAATTTCACTAATGCAACTTCTGGTTCTGAACTGCATCTCCGAACATGGAAAATCAAATTTGAAAATGTAAGCACGGAGCCAGATAGAGATTTAGGATGGCAAACATTTCACAGGTAAGTAGGCCCATAGGCATTATAGGCCTACCCGGTAGTACTACTAGTACTAGTACCCTGAAGAACAAAGCTTCACTGTTTCTGTGCCGATAAAAACTGAAAAAAATTTCACTGAACACATGGAATGTGCATCTACCATGTCTACAATGTACATGCATTGAAAATTTAACAAGGAATGTCAGTAGGCCTACTTAACAACACTGTGAAAGTTGTGAAAGGCATTAGCCCATCCGAGGGGTTTGTCCCACAAAAGTAAAAGGACGCCCTCTGTGTAGCAAGTGTCGCAAATAGATATCTTCTGCATGTACATGTAAGATAACGCCACGTTTCACCTCGTGTGGTCCGTAAACCGTTGCAAGTGCCCTGGTGTTTCCCTGTTCAATGTAGGCTGACCCGTCCGCTTGCCTGAATACGCCCATCCGGCACTGGATTTTACGAAGCTCATGCGGCCGTCGTCCATCAACGCGAAACCCTTGATCGGAAAGAAGTTCGATTCCTGCCATTTTCGAGAGCCTACATTATAGTCTGGTACCCTTACCGGTTTACCATTACATGTCTCGTTCACGAGAAAAGGATTAGAACCAAGTTGGTACTTTGACTTCGTAAAACCCAATGTAATAAACTGATGAAACCTTTTCTTCGGTGCCAGTCTTTCATGTGTGGGAAGTGCTAGGCCGTGTCCGAATTATTTGGCTACGGCTGAGGAATAACACATGCAACGGGAACAGATGAAGCCGCTAGTCACCGGCTTCCGTCGGCGCACATGTTACTTCCAGCCGTAGCCATGGTGTTTGTGCACGGTCCAGGTACGTGGTTTATAGCGCTAGCGCAGAGACCGGCTTTCGCTGCCGCTGGAGCCAGCTGCAGTGCGAAAACGTCAAGTGCACTGAGTAGAGGTAGGCCTAACAGTGTAATTTTCGAATTTGCTGTTGTTTCATTACTTATTATTTCAGTGTTCCAATCTTTCGACCAGTGCACCATTGAATATCAAATAGTAAACGATTTAAACGTTAGGCTTTCTAATAAATGTTGCATCCTGACTCCACGTTGACAGCAGTTGTGTAGAAAAGTTATGGGGAGTGAAGAGAATTTTGTATTTCCCAACAACTTCGGTAAATGTTTCTCAGTCCACAATTCGTGTCATTCCAGCATTTCTGTAATGACTGACTTTTATTGAGATGATGTTTGATGAGAAAAGTGGAGTCAGAATGCAACATTTTTTCCCAATCAGATCGGCCACACCGCACTCCTACGTACATTCGTAGGATCGCGAGGAGGATGACAAACCCCGCAGTTCTGGGGATAGGAAAATAAGTGATGTTGGTGTATTGACACGATTGAAGTCTCTCCGATCTGTGGAAGCTGCTAACAGATTATGTTAGTAGACCTAGGCCTCAGTAGGTCTAATTTTTGGGGGTAAGTTTTGTACATGTAACCACAAACTGGGGCCTCTGAAAGAATGCTAGCAAACGTACAATGTACATGTAGCTGAGCCAGGTTTGCTGACTAATGCTGGGTAACGTGTGTAGGTGTATTGATACATACATACGTGTACATGATAACTCATTCCCATCATGCCTGTTACATGATGTACTCCCTCACCTCCCCCACGAAAGAAACAATCCAATATTTGTTATCTGAAGTCAGGAATGCTTTTCTTCACAAATTGTTTTATTTATGAGATGAATTTTTTCATCACAACTGAAAAAAATTCAAGACTGAAATTCAGCCTTTTTCTAATAAAAAAAAATGCAGTGTATACCTCAAGAAACAGCAAACATTGCTAAGTAAAGACAACACCTAGTATGATAAAAATGATAAAAACTGATAACTCTTGTCTTTTGTTACAAACTCAGTAAATAAAAAAAAATTGCACTTTGGAAAGAACTAGTAGTATCTCCTTTAAAATTAATTTGTAGTACTAGGCAAAAGGGAATATTCTGAACCGGTTTGTGCAGGTTGTTTTAATATTCAGTTTTTCATTTTTTTTCCCTGACGAATGAGCATCCTTCATTTCACATCAAAAGCTGAGCACCTACCAAAGAGGCCTGATTCAGTCTGGAATGCAGTAAGCTTTCTGAAAAAAAATCCCAAAAGTTGTTGTTACTGAAGAGAGTTGACTGTGTGTTGAGAGGTAGATGTATGTGTTAAAGGTTTAGGTATCTAAACTGGTATGGTTGTTAGATGCAGTCAGCTTATAGAATCATCATCAGAGGCCCAGTCACTCTGCGCAGTTGGTCGATCCTATACAAAATCACCAAATTTACTTCTCTTTTTTGAAACAATCTTTGAGGACGGTAAATTAACAAAGAAAAGCAAGTAAATGACAGCAGAATTAGTGGTAAATCGTGCAATAAGATCGACTGATCTTGCAAAAATCAAACCATCGTGCAAGCCAACCAAACGTGTCCAACATGATGACAAATCTTTGGTGAATAGACTGCATTCCAAAAGTTAACAAACTGGCTACCCCATGCCAAAATCTATTTAAAAAGGAAAAGGGCATCAGCCCACAAGAAGGTTTGACTCAATAACCGTGCCTACTTTTTGCACATATTTTGATACAAAACAACTTACCAATGACAAAGGAAAAAACCTCATGAATAATTTATTTGTTGATTTCCTAGAAATAAAGATGTGTACTCTTCTACATGTTTGGTCCAACAATCTGAACATGTACAGTATGTATGTACATGCGTGCTCGTCTCCAAAACGTCTCCATAGCGCCACAGTTTAACCCATTGCTTTACCAGCGAGCTTACATGTACATGTATATTTCAGCTTAATTAAATATGTTTTGAAACGATTTGTCATTCATTGATCCATGTCTAGCTAATGACAATTAAAGATAATGAAATTCTAATTAAAAAGCTTTGATTTTCATAATTATACAGTACATCATTGTACATGAGGTTTAATTGGTCAAAAATACAATGCACAATTTACATGTACTTACTTTATTACATGGTAGGCCTGGTATACATGATGGTGAAGGTCATGGAGCTGCGTTAAATTAATAGAGGCACTGTGTAACGTGAAGCTTGTTGGGATTGGGAACAGCCTTATTTGTGCACAAACCTATGCAAAGCTTGAAAATTTGTGTGGCTTTGTTTGCATATTTACATATCTGCATCTGTTTTCTAAAATGATGCATCGACAAAGCTGATATACTGTACCAAGAACCTCAACGTGCAAGCAGTAAATATACGTTTGCTTTGCTCCATCCAAATTGCAAATGGTGCAAGTGTGCAGATGAATTATGCTGCGGCTTTTTTAATGCATCATACTACTGATACAAAAACATAATTGAATGTTATTTGCATATATGTATTTTACGTGCGTGTTGTCTTGAGATGCAGAATACATCATTCGTTCTGAGTTACTTCATTATTTTCTACATATGTATGAATCCAAAATGTCAGCACTCAGGACAGCTTCAAAGCTCATCAGCGCAGGGAATGAGAATTTAGCACTCTAGTAATTTAATGTAGCTCTGTGGTATAACTATCTTTGACGCATGAATGAAGCACAAATTGAATTACACTTGCTCTCCTAAAGCTTCCGCAGAGTGGTAGTTTATTCAAGCGGCATTTCAGACAAAACATAGCGTGGTGTCAGAACTCGATTAATAAATTGATGTATTGACCATACTGTTGCATTTCCTATGTAATAGAAAACCACTTAGTGTCCAAATGAGGGCTTCGTTTCTTATGGTGAAAGTGACTGACTAAAAACCTCGCAAACTAAAACTTTCTGATATTCTCAAGCAAAACTACCGTAATTATGTGGTGTGAACTGGCAACCCTCCAAAAAAGGTGGTTGTTGAAAGGTTCAAGTGGATGACATCAAAGCTGTTGCAGCAAATACTGATTTTGTTGTTGTTAATACGGGCGATTCACAATGGCGCGCCTCCAAGAGTTTGCAACGCATTGGCCAATCACAGTGTGCGAAATCTGTTCACCCAATGCGCATTTGGAAAAGGTCGACAGATTTGGTGCATCGGGATGCCTTGCAAACTCTTGGAGGTGCACTCCCTAAACATTGAGTGCAGATGAGTGGACAAAAAATCACCCATGTGATTGATTTTATCCGTGAATCCAAAAGAGAATCATCCCAGATCAAAAAAGAAATTGAAAACCTGGTGGCCTGTTCATAGCATGTACATTTATATGGGTAGCAGTTTTGCATTTTAATTGAAGAATGGTGCACCAAGCTTTCCATAGTGATCATGGTGATGACTCTGCAGTTTTAACACACTGACTTGCAGCTTGTAAAATTGGTGTAGGCTTTACATACATGTACATGTACATGTTCATGGGTGATTCCATATTTCGGTTTGGTATAACTGAAACTTAGGTCTGCTACAAAATGATCTCATAAACTGAAATTTAATGATGTCATACATGTACATGTACATGTATGTTTCAGATCGCTTCAGAAGATTAGCGTTGGTAGTGTTGTATGTGCATGTGCATGTATGATGTACATACATGTATGTATGTATGTGGGTAATTCCAGAAATTAGGGGTCCTTTTTTCTTCGTGTCCCTGTCTAATCTGACATATGATTTTGTGAGTTCAGAACACATTTTCTAATTTCCAAGAGTGATGAATTAATGCAAATTACCTGCCAAACAAATAGCAATATTTTGAAATCAATTCTGATGATATTTCCATGTTAAATAACAAAGGTCATGTGTAACAGGGACACAAAAATGTCATACTTTTGGACCCCTAATTTCTGGAATTACCCATGTAACCTTGCAACAGTATGGGAGCTACACATACACATATTTAGATTACTGATCAGCCATATCATTTAATATTCTGTGAAAATATCTTCTATTGGTACTTACCAGTATATTCATTCACCTGTCCCTTGCACAACTGTCTGAGTTTTGTGCACATTCTGAGGAAAATTAATCATGTATTCTCTGCATGGTATGTACCAGTATGATTGTGAAAATTTGAGTTCCATTTGGGTTGTGTCTGTTTTTGTTCATGTCGTAGCTAGTCTGTTGTGACTGCACCATAGAATCATGTCAAGCATGAAGGCCGGATTCCGTTTTGCGATAGACCGGGGAGGAACATTCACCGACATCTATGCTCGATGCCCCAGTGGACGGACCAGGGTCATGAAACTACTCTCAGAAGATCCCAGCAACTACCCAGATGCACCCAGGGAAGGAATACGCCGCATACTACAGCAGGTCAGTGACCTACAGCCCAGGACCATATATTTTTCCTACATCATTGTTCAGACATTTAACCTAACACACATCCATAAATGTGCCCAGTAATTGAAACTGCATAGTGGTTAGAATGTTTAAGAAATTAAGAGCATTTGCCTTGGTTTAAAGTTTTACTACCTGCACCTGCATGGAAGTTTTAGAACTGTACACCATATCCGTGGGTAATTCCAGAAATTAGGGATCCATTTTTTTGGTGTCCCTGTCGCATCTGACATACGATTTTGTAAGTTCAGAACACATTTTCTAATTTCAAGAATGACGAATTAATGCTAATGCCAAACAAATAGTAATAATTTGAAATCAATTCCAGTGATATTTCCAGGTCAAATTTAACAAAGGTCAGACGTAACAGAGACAAGAAAATGTCACACTTTTTGACCCCTAATTCCCGGAATTACATGTATACATGTATGCATACATGGGGATATTGTGAATTTCAAAAAAGTTTGAATGTTAAGTTCTGTATACGCTAAACTGGTGTTCTGGCAATAAGTAAGACCTTCATGTACCATATTAAGAAAAAAATCAAAAAGCTTTGCTCAACTTGAAAATACGCAGTACATGTAGATCCCTTAAAAATTGTGAGTCATTTAGGTTTTCAATTTTACTTTCCTTTTTATTTGTCTGAGTTTCTTTTTGCTTAAGCTTAAAGTGCCAATAAACACTATTGTCAACCAAGTTGACCACTTATTTTGATTAATTTTGTATTCAGGTTACCCTGGCTTAATTAGAAAAAACATTAAATTAATTACAACAATTAGTAGAGTTGTCAGATTCTTGATTCACTTCCATGTGTCTAGATTTCATATCCCAGCATCTTGTCCACAATTTCACCAATCACATTACTTTTACTGGGAAAAATGAGGCACAGTGTACAGTGGGCACGTGCGACAGGTGCATGTAGTCGGAAAGATTTCAGTGCACTATAGAGTACATTGATTTCAGACTCTTCAGTCATGTTGGATAAGTATTCAAATGATGAATGTCTGTGTGTGCAGTGGTAAGACTAATTTTACACGGTCACTGACTGAATGTTGTGTTCCGCAAGGCAGAGAATATTCAATCTGCCTCTGAATGGTAAAATGATTCTCTCCGTTGAGTGAATGTGAAACATTCAGTATTTGCTTTATACAAGTCCTGAATAGATCATTTGTAGATTGTGTGTAAGTCCCTATTTTACTTTGCCAGTAACAAGTTACTGGTAAACTTCAACACTAAGTTTTCAGGTTTGAACAGCAATATCCTCATCTGACAGAGGACGAAATGGTATCAGTGTTTGGCATTTATTTGTATCACCAAACTTTTTTGTGTGTGAAGAGCTGTTAACACAGTGTTCGTTCTGCATGTGAAGAACCGTGACTGTGTCCACGGCACATGTGCACTGTGCAGTGGTGTAATCAAGGAGTATAACCAACAGCCTAAAATACTAAAATATTCACAACACATGATCGGCAACCAACCAATCAGAGGACAGGGATTTATTTAGCCATTGTATAATATTGGCTATGCAAGCCCAGTAAACTTGGAGAACAGTCTCAGAAATCTTAAATTACAGTGTACTATTCCGGTAAAGCCAGAGGTTATGAGTTTATTCCTTTCCAAAAGATATTGTAAAGTGTTCTTTTCCAATACTGTTTCTCGTAAGGCACTGAGAATGGAAGTGTTGTGAGTAATGTCAATTTCTGTGTATTGAAAAGAGAAAATATCCCTGCATTCAAGTTTGAAGTCCTCTCCTCCAAACATAGGAGACGGGTCAGTTGATGTCACCTAACCAGCCGCTAGACACATCCCAGATTGAGTGGATTCGCATGGGTACCACCGTAGCAACCAATTCTCTGCTGGAGAGAAAGGGGGAACGCATGGCTCTTGTCATTAACAAGGGCTTAAAAGATGCCTTATACATCGGCAACCAGTCCAGGCCCAAAATCTTTGACTTGGTATGTAGTGTGTAAATGTCTAATAGTGTCGTGCAGATGGTGTACATGTATGTGTGCCAACTGGAATTACCAATTGTCTCCTGAACCCAACAAAAGTCCATATGCATGGAATATGTTATCAAAAGTAATTTTAAAGTACTCTGAATAATCAGAACAGATTGTAATTACATGTACTATACATGTAGTTGATCACTTAATGAATAAGATCACTGGAGTCCCTTATTTTTTTTCCTTTTAGGCTTTGTTTAAGATGTTTTTTGTTGAAGAATTACAAAACTACAGTATTGGAGATGGCAAAAACAGAAAGTCTTGCAGTCAATTGACTTGAATCCTTGATACTGATTGAAATGATCAATGGTAACTGGCCATATGTTATTCTGCAGATGCCCTTATTCTAAGGATAAGCATGTGTCTCTTAATCGAAATGAGAGCTACGTAGTCCACCTTGAATTTCAAAAGTGGTGCATGAAGTCTGCTCCATGATTCAGTCTTGTGGTTTACAGACACAGACACATTGCCCTGTTCTGTGGTCCACTCACACCTGACTAATAATGTATGAACGTCAAAATTTGGCTGAAAATTGCATTCGCGTGTAATCCCTCATGTTTTCAGGGTTCCCATGGGTTATGGAAAATGCCTGCACGAAGTTGTCCATCAAAGTCTTGGAAAAGTCATGGACAATTGGTCGGTGGGAAAAAAGCCATGGAAAAGTCATACAAATTAAGATCATGCAATCGTTCTTTTTCGATGTGATAACCGAATAGTAAAAGTTTCTAGGCTATCCTAGTCAGTCTGTCATAGTGGCTACGTGGCAGTCTTCCAGTTCTCTGTTCATAATACCAACAGTGTTTCTCTGTAAGATGGCATTAAATGTCATGAAACTTGTCATATGTTAGTCGCGGAAAGTCCTGAAAAATTCACAGGGTTTGGTTTTCCGATTTTTGTGGGAACCTAGTCTTTGAAACAAACCTGTGCTCCCAATCATCCTATTTGTCTGTCTGTCATCAATAGGAGATTGTGACCCCTGACATGCTGTATGAAGAAGTGGTGGAAGTATCCGTCAGAGTCATCCTGCAACAAGAGAGTTGTAGGTTGCCTAAGCAGCAGAACCTGGAGGTTGTGACTGGGTCAACCGGTGAAAAGGTGGGATTGCTTTTAAGGTCCTCGGGATCATTTCTAATGATCCCTGAACAAGCTTACTTTGATACATTCAGTGCATCTATTTCAAACCATGCTTTGTGGTGGTGGTATCGGGGATTTTTTGCTAAGGGTTTTGCCCAATTTCAGGATTTTAAACCCTGAATTCTGAATTTGTAGAGGTTTAGTCATCTACATGTAGGTTTTGCTGCTTTTCTCACATCTTAAATGTGCAATATTCTCATAACCGTCGTTTGGGAGAAAATTCATGTCTTGGTAGATATTGAGAGCCATGAGAAGCCACACCAGCGTACTGTTGTTTTGAAAAACCCTCTATTGAATGTTCCCTTCATCTCTAAATTTCACCCTTGTACATGTAGCCCTTTCTGCTAATGCAGATCAATAGGGCTCCTCATGATAATCTAAGATAGATAGGCGGAGCAACGACATAGGAGTTCTTTTAGCCTGATAGACAGACCAGAAATGAGAACTCAAGGAAACAACTCTCTAAGATTATAATTACAGTTGAAGCCATGTTAGTGAACCTTATGAGCAGTGCAGATTTGGCAGTTCCGTTTTTTGACTTTACAAAATGAGCACGTTAGGAATCCCAGATCAGACTTTCTGAACGGTAGGGCTGTGGCTGGCAATGACACGTGCACCTGTGGAATCCACTGCGTAGTTGGCTTAGCCATTTCTCATTGTTGTACGCATTACTGCTAGCCGTAAGCAAGACTTTAGACACAGCCGAAGCTGGAGGTAGTCTGTGTGCATTCAACCAGCATACCAAGTTATGACAGCTAACTCCTTGCCATTAGAGAAATGTACATGCATGGACGAGTGCAGTTGCTGTGCAGTTTGTTGATTTAACCATTATTTACGATTACCACAAAATGCTGGCTCAATAATATGGGTGATTCGCAATAGCCCGCCACCAAGAGTTTGCACACATTGGCCAATCATAACGAGCGAAATTTGTCGACCCTTTCCAAACGTGCATTGGATCAACAAATTTTGCGCACTGTGATTGGCCAACACTTTGCAAACTCTTGGAAACACTATTGTGAAACGGCCGTATTATGATCTCAGCACTATATGTATACAACTTGTTGGGCTATTGGGATATATTTCCCTGTCTATTTTTTCGCAGCTTGAGGTGTGTGAAAAGATTGATAAAGATAGGCTCAGAGCTGACTTACAGAAGGTTCTAGACAAAGGCATCCGGAGCCTGGCTGTTGTACTCATGCATGCTTATACGTACGTATTAAATCAGTCAGAAACTAAACTCCTTTTGAAATATCCCAGTTTTCAGTCCTCATTTTATGCATGTTACAAATTGAACAATTGAAATTGAAAAGTGAAAGTTTTATGCAGCTTGGAATTTCCTCATTTCTTTCTGACTTCCCAGTTTTTACCCCCAAATGGTCTGCTGTTTCATTCAGCATCCTGTATCTGATAATGAAGTTGAATGCCACATTTTGCATATTTTCATGACAGCTTTGATAGGCACGAGCAGGAGATTAGGGAGATAGCCAAGCAGATGGGCTTCAGTCATATATCACTATCCAGTGCCGTCATGCCCATGGTTAGATTGGTACCCAGAGGGTATACAGGTAATGTTGACAAACAGTTGGTCGGTTTGTACTCATTCAGAAAGAGTCAAATGGTCCTGATGTTTCCAACCCAGTAGAATTTTTCTTAATGGCACAAAGTTTCTTCTAGGATTCGAAAGTGTGCCCTCTCAGTGTTCCAATTTGCATGCTTGATGTCACTGTAGGATAACCAGTTGGCAGTAGGTGTGCCTCTCCGCAGAGATTTGGTCTAGTGTTTTCCGAGTACATGTCCCTAGTTTACTTCCAAATAGTGTGATAGTTGTGTGGATAAAGCTGCACAATAGACATTGGACAGTACACACTGAAAAAATTGTGGACCTTGGGCAATCAGAATTTTGACCTAAGCCTTGAATACAAAAGCTCTTGTAATGTAATCATGAAGTGCCTCTGTGCCAAAGGTTGATTGAAGAGCATGTTTATATTGGCACAGTTCCGAGTTCAGTTTTATTTGTCTCCTTAACACCAATATCGTTCTGTGTCTGTTATTAATATTTTCCTTGCTTGATTCTCAACAAAACAGTTCACTGTTTGGTAGTTAATAAAGAAAATGGTCTGAACACAATTGAACAGCAAATTCTACCACTTAGGATAGGGAGATAGCCCGAGAGGGTTGGCTTTTGAACATCAAGCCAAAATCTCATATTCAAATGGTTCAAAACTGGTTGCCAGTCACTTGTGGTAAAAGCATCACAACTGGATGATGTCTGAGTTCTTTGTCGTGATTCATTCCCTAGTCTGTTAATTCTGCTACGGTAGCTTTGGTCTAGTTTCTCTTCTGTGTCGTATTTGTGGTCACAGGAGTTTTGTTTTGGATGAAGAAAGTTGTTTTGGTCTAGTTTCTCTTCTGTGTCGTATTTGTAGTCACAGGAGTTTTGTTTTGGATGAAGAAAGTTGTATTTTACTCTTTACTTTCACGTACATTTGAAATTTTCCAACTATAACTAAGTGTAATCTGTGAGCTCTCTCCAGAACTATCTTTGCTTTTTTCAACAACCTACACAGCAAAAGTAACAAGATGATTAAGATAAGATTTTAAAATGGTAATAACAAATGTCTTTTTTTTAATGAAAATACATGTAGTTTTTGTGATGTAGGTTTTCAAAGAATATGTCCTTTTTCTCATTTTGCTTGAGCAATGACTGGGTTCATTTTGTACTCCAACAGCCTGTGCCGATGCCTACCTGACACCCTGCATCAAGACCTACGTATCAAGCTTTTCAGGGGGTTTCCAGGACAATCTACGAGGCAAGAGGGTGCTGGTCATGCAGTCGGATGGTGGGCTCACCCCCATGGAAAAGTGAGTATGCCCAATACTCACGAAAATGGTTTCAGTGGTTTACCTGCAGTGCACACGAGTCAAAATATCCCTCTCGAGTCCCTTAACCACTTCCTGCCGGGACATTTTTCAATGTTGATGATGCTGGGGTGGGATATTTATCATTTTTCTTCTGTTTTCAAAATTCTTTAAACATTCCTATCTTCATTTACTGGACACTTACAAACACGTGAAGGCATGTCTGGTGTCCACTCTAGCCTGACAGACACCAGAGTATTTCAGCCAGGCCTGTAGCTTTGTAAAAAGAGCCCAGATTTTGTTGGTGTTACGTAACATTCTTTTGTTCACGAACCTGCCACAGTGAGCTGCTGACCTCTTTTCAATAGGGGCCAGGTTAGCGTGCAGCGGTGCTGTGTGGCTCATCGCTGCGGTGGTGGAGTGCTTTTGTCCCTTGCGGTAATCCGCTCGCTCTAAATACCCCAAACTGTGGTATACTGTTTCAAAACAAGGCAGGATTATCTCCACTTTTGAGAGTGAAAAAATGTCCGTAATGCCCAGCAGCATGGTCTTTTGGTCCGAGTACGGTCTTTTGTTACAAGGCCCTGTTCCCTTTGTCTGAGTTCGGAGAACCGGCCACGCATATAAAGCATACGTGTCCGGATCCGGAGTCCCCGGCAGGAAGTGGTTAATCACTTCGCGCTGGGCCATCATTAATGATCAGGCTGCTGTGCTGGGTGCTTTTTAATTTTTTGTCTGTTTTCAAAATTCTTCAAAAATTCAAAACTTCATTCACTGGATGTTTACACCCACACGAATGACTGTATTGTGGCTACTCTAATCTGACAGGCAACCTCCATTGACACCCGAGTATTGCAGCCAGGCCTGCTGCCCAGTAAAGAGAGACCACATTGTGTGGTGTTGCGTAATTTCCTTTATTCCCGAAATTAGCCCAATGTGTTGCTAAATGGCTGTGGTGTCTTCAAATATGGCCAAATTACCATGCAGCGATATGGTATTGGTCATTGCTGAAGTGCTGGAGCACTTTTGTCTCCGCTGATAATCCGATAATCGGACGCTGAATGGCACAAACAGTGGTATACTGTTTCAAAACAACGACAAATTACCTCCACTAATGCCAGCACTCTGTGCTGAAAATGTTGGCAATTCCCAGCAGCTCGGTCTTTTGTTACAAGGCCCAGCTCCTTTGTCCAATTTCGGACACCCCAGCTATGCACACAAACCCAAGGTCTCCAGTACCGGGAGCCCGGCACTGAGTGGTGAACATTGCTCAAGTGTGGTGTGAGTCTTTTTTCAATGTTTCCAGCACCAGGTCTCAGTCACTTGAAAGGCAACTTGAGACAGATTCATGTCTTCATCCTTGCTTGTGCCATTCAAAACTGCCATTGTTGCACATCATTGTAATAATAATGTACAAATGTATAACATATTTAGTTTGTTTCATATGGAATGTCCATACCTCCCCGAGGTATTGGATGTTGACAAAGTAGTTCCTTGGCAGTGTTCTAGCTAGGACCATTTTAGTGCCCGCTAAATTTTTGGATTGCAAAACGTAGCAAGTGCAGTGAGCAGAGCTCTCACGACTCATAGCCGGACTGGATTTGCGCCCTCTATTGATACCGCTGTTCAGCTGGTCTTGAGCCAAGACTACAAACACATGCACACTGCCTCAGGGGAGGCTACATTATATCATATAATTTCACATCCGGGTCTCGTAACAATGCTAGCTAGATATTCTCACTACTTTCTGATGCTTGAAATACGAACAAATTGGTACAATTTCAGTAATATTTCAGTTCATTTTTTTGAAAATCCCTGCTGGGTGGCACGGCCAATTTGAACCCGAGAGCCAGGTGGAACTTTGCAGTATCAGGAGGTGCCACCCGGCGCTGCCCACTGTGGCTAGAACACTGTTCCTGAGGCCATGACCATCCACTCTCCAAATAAAATAAAATGTTATTGTTGTACCATACTTCATTCAATTACATTCACAGTTTCAGGCATCTTTTCTAAATCTAATCAAGGTGTGGCACCATCTATTCATGTGTACATAGCTAGAGCAAGGCTTGCACCTGGTAACAGCTTCTCAAGAACTTTAAAAAGCACATGCATAGTAATTGTTCTCTATGCTTGCCCATTCGGCTGTCACATGCACGCTTGGCAAACAGCGAAAATAGTGACTGGCTAGTGATGGTGAATAGACAATTGAGAATTAAGTTATCATGAATATGCATAGGTATGGTAATTTTAATCAGCACCCATCGTTAACAGTCCTAGCAACTTGCTAGACCTGCTTTGATGCTGAACTATCTTCGCTTGACTGTATTTTCCAGGTTCAATGGCTCCCGTGCCATTCTGTCCGGACCAGCCGGGGGCGTGGTTGGCTATGCTGTCACAACGTACAAGAAGGAAACAGACCTGCCCGTCATAGGATTTGACATGGGAGGTCAGTTACCAAACACTAGACAAGATGGCTGACAGGCTTCTTCCTAACCGCACTTACCTGTGTAGCACAGGGGCAGAATTGACAAGGGGTGTAATAAGAGCATGTGGGACCGTAAGTGTCTGGTCACATACCCTGTACTCTCCTACACAAGTCTCAGTTTGGCATGCCTACTGCAACAGTACTGTCTGTACCTTCTTCAAGTGTTGGCCATGTTGAAAATAAGGGTGAGGCAAATCCTGTGAAGATTGCTCACTGACTTGAGATGGGTGATAATAATGCAGTAGTCCAGACAAGATTTTGCTTCACCTCAAGGTACGACCTCCCTTTATGTGTGAGGCAACCCTGGCAAGACAGTAACTCCTTTGCATTGTTACTTGTGTGCAGGCTTCAATTTCTTCATTTTCTGCCAAGTGGAAAATATTGCTTTGTAAATTTACGTGTTCAGCGAAAATCTGCCGAGGACATGCAATTAATATTTCACAGCATCATTGCTTCTTTACCAGTTTTTACCTAGCGAATATTCTTCCTGCATTAAACAAACCCCTGTGGCTAGCAGCTCCATGCAGCTGTGATGTGTGGACCCATTCAAGTTACCAAAGTTTGCGAGCACAGCCTCTCAACCTCACCCTGCCAAGTTCCCTAGAGTGCCCAAGTCTGGTTAACACCGAGCTTGCCCTCAAACTACTAGCAGACATCCTGTGTGACTCTAAAATTCTCTTCTCTTGTCTCATCATTTTTCTCGCAACATCTCTCGCAGGTACGTCCACTGATGTCAGCCGCTATGCTGGGGAATATGAGCACGTCTTTGAGACAACCACGGCAGGAGTTACGATTCAAGCGCCCCAGGTAGCCAGACGACACCGGCCTTGACAATTCTCAAAACTCAAAACTGCTGCTTTAAGTGTATTCAAAATTTAGTCCTAATTTCAAGAGTTTTGATGAAGACATTGCTAAATTAGATCCTCAATGGAAGATTATGTCGCCTGGATATCCCTGGCTAATGCACAGCTGAGGCTGTTACAATTGATTAGTTGACTTGGAATACTTTGATGGTGTTGGTTGCAACAGTCAATGGAAAGAGAGTTACAGTTTATCATGCAGTATCCTGAATAGTCGCATGTGAACCTTTGGGCCTTGAAATGAGTCTCAAAACCCTTTGTTGCTGTCTTGGCCACAACACCGTGCTCTCAACCACCATGCATGAAGCAGCGGAAGGAGTTTTAATCACTGCTTGGTCTTGGTTTCAGCTGGACATCAACACAGTGGCTGCGGGCGGGGGATCTCGGCTCTTTTTCCGCTCTGGGCTGTTTGTGGTCGGTCCTGAGTCAGCCGGGGCCCATCCAGGGCCAGCCTGCTATCGCAAAGGTTGGTTGAAGTAGATTTCATTATCAGTTGTACCACGAACAGACACTGAACCCTTTGCTAACATGAGTCTCAACCAAAATGTTACCAGTTTCATTCAGTACTGTTCATTTGTACCAAATGTTTTTCTGCTCTGAACACTCATTGACTAAATTGATACTGAATAGACTATGCTACTCCAAGCAGTAA